ATTTAGAAAATCTCATTTTAAAGAGCAAGTATTTTCGAGAAAGTCGTCTGTTAAACGTTTTTATCTAGAATGCGTAGTTTTTTCATCATATTGAAATAATGAAAAAAGTCGCTTTTGTTTGCTTAAATGTCATGATGCAGTAAAAGTTTAACCACGATATAATACTCCTTTTCAATTGACTTATCCCAGACATTCCATTTAAAAAATAGCGTCCAGTAGTTTTTCGATTTTCAAGTGATTTTTCGGCTTCGTTTCATGGGGTAATAAACCAGAAACAACTTAATTTAATTTAATTATTTCATTGAATAAAAAAAACTAGTGGTAATTGTTGATGTAGATAAGTGATTTAATTAATTGATACAGTTGTATAATTGTTGTATTATTGTTTATTTAATATTAAACTATATCCCTAACTTATGCCTCGCAGTTTATTTTCGGTGTTTCCCCTTCTTTAAGGTATTTCTGTTCTGTAGCTTTTAATTTTTGCAAGCCTAGATTTTTAATATGACTGGCCAAAACACCGGCCGAGGATGATTACACTCCTTATTAAAGTCTTCATTTTTGGACTCTCTTTTTTTTATAATCGAAAACGAAACAGAGGCATTATTTTTGAAAAGGCACAACTTGAAGATGCGACATTTTTGAAAAGTCGACAGTTCGATTTTTGATCAAATGGATACACACTTTTCCGGTACTTTCGATTATTTTACTTTGACTCCGAAGCCAGGGCAAGAATCACCCCAAATTGTTTTAATGGTAATGGGGGTCGGAAGCGAAAATGGTTATTCCTTCAATTACAATTCTTTCGTATTACACTATTAATAAAATAATTTACTTACTTGATATTCTCATTGTCATCTCATCATTTAATCGGAAAGATGTAATAAGACAATAAATAAAAAGGTTTGGTCTAATTAGCCCAAAGGTGCTAAATGGATCACAATGTGCACAATGGTCTTAAACATCATCCATGCCCGCATATACAAGAAATTGGAGGAGGGTATTGCTGAAGTAAAATTTCGATTTCGCAGCGGTCTTGGCACAAGAGAAGCACTTTTTAGCATACAAGTATTGATACAACGAGCAAGAGATGTTAATACAGATGTCTTTGCCTGTTTCATTGACTTCGAAAAGGCATTTGACAAAGTACAGCATGAGAGACTTATTGAAACTTTGCATATCGCAAACATCGATGACAAGGATATAAGAATAATAATACTAATAATATTTATAAGACTTATTGATATAAGCGAGCAATTAGATAAACAGATTAATAATTTAAGAACTTAGTTTCAGGTACAGGCAAAGACATCTACTCTTCATCGCGCGATTTGCGCAGTAGATGACACAACACCGATCAACCTGAGGGAACAAGAAATGCGCATAAACCATCTTACTAAGAACGAAAAAATGCGCATCTGGATGGGTAAACCTCTGCACGGGCGACATCCGAATGAAGTCAGTCAAGACTATGTCGACAATATAGCGTCGAACTATTGGCTGACATCAGGAAAGATGTTCCCTGAAACAGAAGATTCATTACTCGCCATTCAGGATCAGGTTATACCAACCAAAAATTACCTGAAGTATATTGTCAAAGACCCTCAGGTCCAAAACGACAAATGCCGATATGGATGTCAAGCCCAAGAAACGATCCAACATCTTACCGGAGGCTGCCAGGCATTTGCTGCAACTGAATATAAGGAACGGCATGACTCAGTAGGGAAGACCCTCCATCAAGAGATAGCTATTAAACTGGGACTTCTACAAACAAACCATCTCCCATATTATCAATATGTTCCAGAGAGTATGCTTGAGAATAACAACTACAAGCTATATTGGGATCGCACTGTGCTCACAGACCAAACTGTAGCACATAATAGACCAGATCTCGTGCTAGTTAATAAACTAACAAGACAAACAACTCTAATCGATGTGGCGATACCTAACAACAATAATCTGCGTGTTAAGTACAACGAAAAGATCGCCAAGTACAAAGATCTGGAAATACAAATAGGAAGACACCTATTATTCTTTCTACCACTGGAGTCATTCCGAAGAACCTCCTAGAAAACATAAAAAAGCTGGGTCTAAATGAACATCTATATAAGGTCATGCAGAAAGCTGTGCTGCTTTCGACGTCCAGATGCGTGCGAAAATTTTTACGAGATACACCGACGTACCAAGTCACCTAGGACTCGATAACATGGAAAGAGTCCCACCAGAGCTCAATTCTTTTGATACCGTAGGTATCTGGGATGAGTGAATATTCCCCTTAGAGGGAGTGTGAGCCGTATGGCTAAATCTTTATAATAATAATTCAAGTAGGTAATCAATTATCCGATGAAGTCCCAATACAAAGAGGAGTACGACAAGGTTGTATACTTTCGCCTTTGCTGTTTAATGCCTACTCTGAACATCTATTTCGAGAAGTTTTGGTAGAAACGACTGATGGCATGATTGTTAACGGTGAAGTAATACATAATCTAAGATATGCAGACGACACTGCCCTTGTTGCGGATAGTGCTGAAGGATTACAAAGACTAATAGATCAAGTAGTTAACATCGGTAGAAAATATGGAATGAAACTTAATAATAAGAAGACGAAGCAAAAACCAAGATACAGATGCAAAGTTTATGGCAGACAATGAGGTATTGGATAGAACAGAAAAAATAACATACCTAGGATGTAACATTGCAGACAGGTGGGATCACTCATACGAGATTAAATGTAGGATCGAAAAAGCATAGAGAGTCTTCCAACAGATGGAAGAAAGTTCTCTGCAATTTAACCTTGAACTTACATCTCCGACTCAAAATCCTTAATTGTTATGTGTTTTCTGTTCTTATGTATGGAATAGAGGCATAGACACTCACTGATGCGTCTTGCAGACGGTTGCAGTCTTTCGAGATGTGGTGCTATCGTCGCATATTCAGAATATCATATGTACATTATATAACTAACGACGCAGTAATGCAACGTTTACAAAAAGAACCTGAAGTCTTAAAATCCATTAAAGAGAAAAAGTTAGCATACTTCGGATATATAGTGAGAAATGAAAATAAATACAGAATCCTACTATTGATATTAGAAGGAAAAATAGAAGGAAATAGAGGATCAGGACGCCGTCGAATATCCTGGCTTAAGAATTTGAGACAGTGAACAGGTATGACCATCATAGACCTATTTCGAACAGTTGCTAATAAAATACGATGGGCCATTGTGGTAGCAAACATCCATAGAGGATAGGCACTAGCAGAAGAAGAAGAAGCAAAATGGTAAACATTGGATCTTCTTCGAAACTCATTAGTATATAATTTCGTCTTTATGTGATATCTTTTGTTTTCTTAATACAGTCTGTAGATTTTTCCTGACAATCTGTCAATATTTTCCTTGTGCATTTTGGGAAGACAGTACAGTCGCGGTGGTAGTTTTTCTATATTTCCTACATTTTTCTGAATATGCTCTTAAATGTCTGCAGCATGAACGAGTTGATTAGTTTTTTTTTATAATATACTGTGCGTCATAAGTTAGGGATATAGCCAATATAATGGTAATGGCACTTCATTCTGTATCAGTTATTTGTAAGTAAACAATTAAAAATTATCATCATCATCATCATTCAGGCTTTATAACCCTGCGTGAGTCCTAGCCTCCTCAATAATTTCTCTCCAGTCGTTCCTATCTATCGCCTTTTTCCGCAAAGCACGTATTCCCATATGTCTCATGTCCTCATCGATCAAGGAACCTTGTTCTGGGTCTTCCTCTTCTTCTCTGGCCAATGGGACCGCCGTCGGCGGTCGATCAATACATTTTTGTCGTCATACGATTGGATCTAGCGGGATTCGGTCGTTCAATACTTTGAAGTGATTGAATCAAAACGAACGAATCAATCGCGATGATACAACACTAGACGAAGCACCTGTACAGCCATTTAAAAATGAGCTTTTTCTCTCAAATGGGATAAACAAATATGATTTTTTTAAAACTACTTGACCGATTGTGCCCATCTTTCGTAAATGTAGTAACTACATAAAAAGTCACATTATGAAATGTGTTTTAAATGTTTTTATTGTTGATTTTAATAATTATATACAATTGAAAAACATGGTTACTTTCGGGTTTAATTTGCAATAACTTTTTTGTTTATAAACATTTTTTAATTTAGAAAATCTCATTTTAAAGAGCAAGTATTTTCGAGAAAGTCGTCTGTTAAACGTTTTTATCTAGAATGCGTAGTTTTTTCATCATATTGAAATAATGAAAAAAGTCGCTTTTGTTTACTTAAATGCCATGATGCAGTAAAAGTTTAACCACGATATAATACGCCTTTTCAATTGACTTATCCCAGACATTCCATTTAAAAAATAGCGTCCAGTAGTTTTTCGATTTTCAAGTGATTTTTCGGCTTTGTTTCATGGGGTAATAAACCAGAAACAACTTAATTTAATTAAATTATTTCATTGAATAAAAAAACTAGTGGTAATTGTTGATGTAGATAAGTGACTTAATTAATTGATACAGTTGTATAATTGTTGTATTATTGTTTATTTAATATTAAACTATATCCCTAACTTATGCCTCGCAGTTTATTTTCGGTGTTTCCCCTTCTTTAAGGTATTTCTGTTCTGTAGCTTTTAATTTTTGCAAGCCTAGATTTTTAATATGACTGGCCAAAACACCGGCCGAGGATGATTACACTCCTTATTAAAGTCTTCATTTTTGGACTCTCTTTTTTTATAATCGAAAACGAAACAGAGGCATTATTTTTGAAAAGGCACAACTTGAAGATGCGACATTTTTGAAAAGTCGACAGTTCGATTTTTGATCAAATGGATACACACTTTTCCGGTACTTTCGATTATTTTACTTTGACTCCGAAGCCAGGGCAAGAATCACCCCAAATTGTTTTAATGGTAATGGGGGTCGGAAGCGAAAATGGTTATTCCTTCAATTACAATTCTTTCGTATTACACTATTAATAAAATAATTTACTTACTTGATATTCAGATTCATGTTGACTGGCAAACTGTTTAAATGATTCAACAATTATTCCAGCATTTGAACAGTCATATACGTAAATAGATGGAGCTCCCATCCAAGTTTGTAGATCATATATTGACAATGGAATATATTGCGTGTATGTCTAAAACGAAGTATTTATTGATTAAATTAAAATAAAATAAATCATAAAAGCTAATAATTTAGGCTAAGTCGTCTAACCATCGTCTCACTAACACCAATTTTAGGATTAGAATAGTTTTTTATTTCAGTTATCCCGCATTACTTTTAAAGTCCAAAGTGAATTTATTTTCACTTGAAATTTATTGTTTATAATTAATATTTGCAACAATTTTTAATAACGAGTACTTTAAATTCCTCTCTTTTATCAAACATTTTAATTTGTTTGTAAACAATTTTACTGTGGGAACACAGGTAACTTTTTTAAATAGGCTATTGGATTTTCAGAAGCGGAGCTGTATCAGCAGAATGGTTGTGATACTGCAATGCAATAGGGCAGGGGAATCCATTGCATTATCATTTCCAAAAAAGTTATGCGTGATGTCCAAGACAGGACATCACGCGTGATGTCCGAGTTATGCGTGATGTCCAAGACATCATGCATAACTTTTGGTTACAGGTCCGCTCTTGAAACTTCATGGATCAACGAAAGGATATAGCCATAACATTCCTCGATTATGAAAAAGCATTTGAGACAGTAAAACATGACGCAATGATAAAAATGCTACACAACGCTAACATTGACGAGAAAGATATAAGAGTTATCCAGAATCTCTATTGGAATCAAAAAGCACGAGTGAGACTGAACAAATCAACCAACACAGAAGAATTTGAAAGTTTAAGAGGGGTGCGACAGAGGTGTATTTTGTCTCCTATGCTCTTCAATCTCTACGTGGAGAACATTTTTGCAGAGGCACTAGAAGGCTCTGAGTGTGGAATAAAGGTAAACGGGTTCCCGATAAATAACATTCGTTACGACGACGACACGGCGATAATAACAGACAACGAACATGATATGCAGTTGATGTTACATAAAATAAACACCGTAGGGAAAATATATGGCTTGAAGATAAATGCTGGAAAAACTAAATGCATGACAATAAGAAAAAATGCGCTTTTAAGAATACAACTGCAAATAGATAATGCTCCAATCGATCAAATGAAAACATTTAAATACTTGGGAATGATGATGAATGACTAATGGGATCCTCAACAAGAAATAAAATACCGTACCGAACAAGCAAGACAAGCTTTTACCAAATTTAAACCGCTACTATGTAACCGCAATCTTTCCTTCAATCTCCGCTACAAGATGGTTAAATACTATGTATGGTCCATATTGTTATACGGCATGGAAACAAAGACGTTAAGAGTACCTTCCATTAATAAGTTAATAAGAGGCCTTCGAAATGTGGACGTTGCGAAGAATGTTCCGCATACCATGGACAGATAAGGTGAGAAGCGAGGAAGTCTTAAGAAAGGTAAATACCGGGAGAGAACTACTCAATTTGATCAAGGTACGAAAAATTGAATACCTCGGCCATATTCTGAGAGGTAAAATATACGCAATCACTCAGCTAATCATCCAGGGAAAGATTGAAGGCAAGAGAAGTAGGTCGCAAACAAATGTCGTGGCTACGGAACATAAAGAAGTGGACAGGCGTAAATAACACTGGCGATCTTTTACATGCCGCAAAAGACAGACGTCTGGCCTTAAGATAATTCGTCAACGCACTATAGGTGCATGGCACTATAAGAAGAAGATGTCCAAGAGAATGCCTCGGATGTTGTCACGCAGCTCGGTTGACGACCGGCGCTACCCTGAGTCCGGGTCAAGGAGTGCGAAGTTGGCCACCGGCCATGCGAATGTTAGTGATCAGGAATCGTGTGGAAATTCAGCTACTGGTCCACAAAAATTAAAACTCAGAAAATTAATTAACGTCGGTACATGAAACGTACAACAGCCAAAAGCAATTACAGGTAAGCTATTAATTATTGAAAGAGAGCTGGCACGGGATAACTAGAACTGGCTCTGGACTAGGTAAAATATATTAGTTAAAAGAAGGCCAATTTAGAACACATAATGGAGTCCCAGAGAACTCTCTGGGACTCCGGTGAAACTCAGAACTATACATATGTTGCCATTCTGATCTCATCAAAATAACAAAAATCTGTCTTCGAATTCAAAGCTGTGAGCGACAGGATAGTTCTCCTTAAACTAAATAATAATAATAAAATGTAGATGTGATTTAGCAAAAGTCGTCGTATATAGGAAATATGACCAAAATATGGAAGGACTCTAAAATTTCACGAACTTCAAGGACTCTAAAAATGATGTTGATCAACTGCTTAATATTTCTAATACTGACATATGGATGTGAGTCACACTGCTTGTCGACACTACGACAAGCGGACAAAAGAAAGATAGACGTCACTGAAATGTTTTGTTGAAAAAGAATGTTGCGAAATCCGTGGATCGAGTACCGGACAAATAATTCAATTTTAAATGAACTAAAGGTCAGCAAATGGCTCCCTAGCGAAGTTCATCTCCAAAACTTAAAATATTTGGTTGGGGTGCTCTTTACCTCGGAGGGTCTACGATTCGTTGATGCTTTCATTAGTATAATCTTCTAGTGGTATGTTTATCTTCGTATTGTTCTGAAGCTATTTTAGACTCATTTATATTGACAATTCAAACATATATTTTACACTTTAAAGTAGACGACTTTAAAATGATATTGCCAATATTGCTGAGTTGCAACTTTATCGTAAGATAATTCATTCGATTACATGAAATCAACTTTAACTTGAGAATAGCCTTTAGAAAAAAATCATAGCATGTAATTCGTCGTTAAGAAAGGCAACCACATGCCATGATGACAGTAAAATTCCCCTGTTAGTGATTCCATAGTTAATCATGAGGAAAAAACCTCATAATATAAATGTTATGACTATATCTCATAATAATATCAAAACAATATGTTACTGATTTATTTCCTCCTTTAATATGGGTAACCAGATCCTACTACATTCTGCCGAGAAATTTGCGACACAATTGGTATCGTTTAGAAAGCCGCTCCTTTGATTTTGCTCTTTTTACCATCCGTTTCTTTATTATTAAAAGAGGAAGTTAATAAAAGGAAAATACTAGTATTAGTAAGTCAGTAACATATCGAGGATAAAATAACAAACATATAAAATCAGAATTTGGTATTTATTGAGAGTAAACTAAATGTAAGACCAAATACTTACCATGTCGTGATAGTACTATGAGGTTTTTTCCTCATTATTAACTATGGAATCACTAACAAGAGAATTTTACTATCATCATGGCATGTGGTTGTCTTCTTAAAGACGAATTACATGCTGATTTTTTTTCTGACGGATATTCTCAAGTTAAAGTTTATTTCATGTAATCGAATGAACTATCTTACAATAAAGTCGTCCCAGGAACGCAACTCAGCAATATAGGTAATAGTATTTTAAAGTCGTCTACTTTAAAATGTATAATATATGTCTGAATTGTCAATATAAATGAGTCAGATGAAATTAAATTAGAAGAATTTTTCACCAAGTAACAAAAAACAAATTTTGTTTAATTTATCAATGTTTGTATTTTGAGAACGATTTTCGTTGAAAGTTGAAAATGAAACGTCAATAAACTTACTTTGACATTCAATTGTGGCTTATTCCCATCAAAATAGTAATTATGTTTACCTTCGGTTCCATTTTTTACATTTCTTGCACTTGCTGTGCTGTGAAATTGAAATGAGTTCATTAAGTAAAATGATTATCCAAATATTTATTGATTGTGGAAATGGCAGACTGAATATGATGGAATTGTGGAATTGTGTTCTCATCATATACCAAGAAAATGCACGTGCCATTACTTGATAGTATTCGTCTCTCAAAATTCTTCCCGTCTAATGATAATATGCACTCCACACCACAATGAATTTTCTAACCGTACATTGCTACCGACTGCTAACGACCATCGCTAAGAGGTGAGAGCCGTCACGAGGAAAATGGACCTTCAGTCATGGTTTTAACATGATTTAATGTACACAAAAACATTATATGCGATGAAGAGTTAAAAATTTCTATGTTCTACGGATGTATCGGAAAGAGCTACGCCTAAGGATGTTTAGTGTGTAAGTATGCCCTTGTACCCTAGGTACTCTTCTTAATGACATGGAGGCGTGAATATTAAATCAAGTGCATTTTGGTGATGCAAAAGAATCTTACGAACATCAGGGATTCAAAGATTGTCAACCGTCGAAGTAACTCGAATGATAGGAAATGAAGCAGAAATAATATCGACTATCAAAAGACGAAAACTTTGGTACCTAGGACATTAAGACGTGGATGAGAGGGAAAAAATACTCATTATTACAACTCTTTATACAGGATAAAATTCGAGGAAAGCGAAATACCCCTAAAATGTATGCCTAATAAATAACAACAATATACAGTCGGTCCCAAACCCTTCTTTCAGTACGTCATAGTTAATCGAATACTCTCTAACGCAGTCAGCTAGAAGTGACAGCAAAAAACGTGACTCTGTGATTATTATACATAGAACTTAGAAAATTATGTATCGTTCACAGGCATTTGCATATTAAAGCGAATTCTACTTACTTACGGATGTATAATTGGTTGGACTTTAGAATACGCTAAATAGATATCCAATCAATGATGCGCATAAATATAATTGGACGCAGATGGTCTCCATCGTGACAGTACTTTCACAATGTCAACTGATAAAATGATAATTGTCATTCCAGATTAGTATTTTCAGACATTTTACACTGACAATTTTAATTTTGTATTTTTTGTCATAAAAATATTTTAAATATGCCGAGATATAACGAGAAAGAACAAAGACTAATATTAAAATTACTAAATTATTTTCAATTAGAAACAGAGGATGGGACAACTTTATTACCAGTTTCTGCCGTTCGTGAAGTAAGTTTTAAATTATTCTAAAAATATTAATAGTATTTTAAATACTATACATTTTACCCTGTTGGTAAGGCGTTAGGAGTTTCGTTTTGAACAGTAAGAAGACGATTGGCAAATGAAGGCATTGTAACAAATGCTTGCTATTCTGTGGCAATGAGTACTTCAGTATGTGATAATCTAGGATCTTCACGAACCAATAAATATGAACATGTTATTAAAACTCGTATATATTAGAACTATTTCCACTATTTAATGATAAATCTTAACAAAATTAAACTATTGGCTGCCACAGAAACTTATCGCAAAATTACTTATCCGAATATGACTGATTTCAATCAATGCTATTTTATCACAGTTTGCCTTGATGCCTTGAAATTGCCAGTAAAATATTTTATCTCGCAGTCAACTCTTAAAAGATTCTAAAAGGAAGCGTTATTTTAAATAAACAAACGTTCCAATTCCATAGTGTTTGCAATAAATAATAATAAATCCATAAATAAATCTTAGCTAATTAAGCACTTTCTTTGGAATGTATAGAATAGGATATATGTGACAAACTGCCGTTCGAATATAATGCGCAATAAAAATGTAATTATACAGAACGGGACCTCTATGTAAATTTAAAAAAAAAATTGAACTGTTAAAAGTTTTTATTCCACGTTTCAAAAAAAACCTTTTCACGTTTAGCAGATTACGATCCTGCAACTGCCAGATTTAACTAAAATGTCATGCAATAATTCTCGACATTCCTAAAATCCTATATGACGTCAAAATTAGTGCCGCACTGAAAGAAGGGTTTGGGACAGACTATACTCACCCTATTAAACACCCATATCTCTCCATTTGACGTTGGTTTAGGAACTCCATGACCATTATAGTGGAAGAGTACTCTCTCTTCTTTTGCATTTCTACGTAATGATGTACATAATTTTTTCACTTCATCAGATGTGGGATCCAAGGATTGTTTGTATCTTGCCCTTGGCTGCCATCTCTCATATTGCGTTTGAAGGCTCTGACCAATTTTTTCTAGAGCTTTAGATGAAGACATTGTGGTCGGGTCTAGCAATGAAAAAATAAACTATAATTTGCGTTTAATATAATTTCTTACATATTGTTCAAAACCTATGGCATTTTGCAAACAGCAATTTGAAAGTTTTTCAAAAATAGAAATTTAAACAAGTGAAGTTTGAGCAAGTGAATAATTTTACCTTTAAATTACAATTGAAAATGAAGAGTGATGAAAATTTAGGATGCTGGTTTTATGCCAATTTTGACATCAGCATATATAATGAAAAGGCCACTTTACACTGTAAACGATAATGCTGTATCTGGTTTAAAAGTTCCTAATGGATTTAAAGTTTTATTTAAATTACATTAGGGGATATTGAACTTTATATACATGGTGCATATACATTTTTATATAAAAACCATTATATAACCTGTGAAACCAGTATGTCACCAGGACGTACCAGGAACTAACAGGCAACTCGACCAATTTTTATCGTATATTAATTTACTTCATAGTCATATTGAATTTACAATAGAAACAGAACAAAATCAATCCATAAATTTCTTAGATATAAAAATTATCAGACTTAAAAACAAACATGACTTCACCATATTTCATAAACCTACACATACTGACACGACTATACACAATTCATCATCCCATCCAACACAACATAAACTGGCAGCTTATCATAGTATGTTACATAGATTAACAGAAATTCCGATGTCTAAATACAACTTTGAGACAGAATTATATATAATTAAGCAAATAGCAGTAAACAACGGATACAACTAACAAACAATTAATAAAATGTTAAATCAAACACTAAACAATTAATAAAATGTTAAATCAAACACTACACAAGAAAGCCCTGAAATTAGTATTTCCACCACCAGAGAAAAAACCCAGTACCTTCTGCTCGATTACATATACAGGCAAAATAACAACAAAAATAGCCAAACACATAAAAAAGAAACGAATAACACCACTTTTCCGAACATATAACAACCTAGGCAAATATATTAAAAATAACAAGAGCCAAAATAAAAAAACACTTAAATAGTGGTGTGTACAAACTTCAATGTGGCGACTGCCCAAAAACTTACATCGGTCAAACTGGTAGAAACGTTAATAAACGAATAGCAGAACATAAAAGGGCTTTCAAGAATAAAAAAACAGATTCGACATACGCACTTCACCTTCTAGATCATAATCATTCTTTTAATGGCAAATTTAAAATTCTTCACATTCAAAATAAAGGCCTTAAGCTTTGTTAGAATCTATGGAAATCAACAAATTAAAAAACACAGATATAATTCTAAATGACCAACTTGAGAAAACAGTTCTCCCCTCCTCAACCTATTTCATTAGAGACTATAAATTGTAAACGAATGCCAAAAATCGATAACTTGAGAAAGGCAATCAGCCGAAACATCTGTAGTGATAATAGTTAAAATAAATTTTGTGGAAGTTTGAAAACAAAGTCTTCAGTGTTTTATTGTTACATAAAATGAATTTCCATCAAGTAACGGTCGAATCCATCAATTATATAAATTTTAAACTCCAAAACCGGTCCCAAAAACATAACATCATTTTATAAACTTAAAGGATTGTGAGTAGAGACGTTTCTTTTCACATAAAATAAATGGTAATTAAAAGAATATAAATATTATTTAATTAATAAAGAAATTAATTAACAATTAAATGATCTATTAGGAATACATTCCAACATGCTGATAGGGGTTCAACTTTGAACTCTAGACCAACATAATGTGTCATCAAGATAAACTGAGAAAACAAATTCAAATAAATGTTTCCCAAATAAACAAAAATACAGGACTTTATATATACAAAGAAGTCTATTGAAGAAGTTACAAATAAATAAGGATAAAAAAAATAAAAGTTAGGTCATATTTCTAATAGAAAAATTGAAGAAATGTTGAAATTGTTCAAAAAATGGCGCTATCACTTTTACAGTACCAACATAATACTGTTTATCTTTTACTGACAATACACTAGAACCAACAAATTTCACTTGTATTGTAAATAAATAAAAATCAAACAAAGAAATAAACATATCTCACAATTTCTCTTATAAGCGAGCTAATTCGTAGTTGGTTACCAGAAACCAGACGACAATTACCATATCGATCGCGAAGTGAGTAGGAGTTGTTAAACTGTTTCTTCGGGCTGTTAAGCCGTTGTCTTCTGAGATTAGTTCTTGACGTTTCGCCAACACTAGGGGTTGGCACACTAACTTATGTTAGTAATGTTAATTCACTTAAGCCATTTATTTAGTTGCACGTAATTTTTTAAATGTTAATGAAAAGGGCCGTAACTCAATAAAAACTGTAAAACATAATGTGTTAAACTAATGATGCCATACAATTCATTTGATTTGAATGTACTCAAAAGTTTGGGGAGATTTAGGGCTGCACACCCCCCTTAAAATTTTTCTGTGCGCTTAGATTTTGTTGTTTCTTTTGTATGAAAAATGCTTTCAGAACAAAAAAGTAACGTGTCCATTTTTATTACAAAATATCAAGTAGTTTAGGAGGTAATGCAAAAAAATTTTTTTATTTTGTAATTTCAAAGGACTGTAACTTTTTTGTGTACACTTTTGTACCAAGGTAAGTTGGAATCAATCAATTTATTTTTGTCCTCAGATTGCGTGATTTAATTTATGACATATCTTTTTTAAACAACCTGTATAATAACTATAATGATGTAATGTATATAAAGTATAATAACGTATATATTGTATGTATATGAATTTTCCGACTCCTTTTCTTTTTTAATAAAAGGACAAGAAGAAACAACGACTCATTTGATATAATATTCTCAACTAAACAATATTAACTATTCGCTAATATAAGTATTAATTTTTGATGGTGGCAATTATCGGCCACCAGTTGCCCATAATTATTTGTGCTTTAATTTGGCGACGCCACTAGTTGCGCCACCACTTGCGTCACCAGTTACATAATATAATACCGGCCTTAGATGAGGTGTCTTGTTCAGATTATCAACATATTTTGAAATAAAGGGCAGTCTATCAAGGAAACTTATCGTAATTCTCGTAAAATAAATTGGTAAGTATATCAAGCAGACCTGGAATATTATTTAGGTAAGATTAAAGGACCAATCATTTATTCATATATTAATTCATTCATACATGAATAAAAAAAATATTTATGAAGACTATACTTTAGTAAATGTCATAAATTTATTTTAATTTTAATTAATGTCATCAGTTTCTTTAATTAAGTATAGATCAATTAAAGATTATATTGTAATAATTGCACCAATTGCACCATTGTGAAAATTATGTTTTACTACTACTTAAAAAAAAGATTAAATAGTACCCATACAGCGTGAAAACTTTCACACAGATTATTCATGAGGAAGTACCAATAATATTTCAAAAATAATTCAGAAATGCTTTTAGTTGTTATTAGAAGATTATAGATGAAATATTTCTAATTCTTTACTAAAATTTAGTAAAAAGTTTCACTGAATAATTTTTTTGAACAGGACAATAAATGTTCAATGAAATAATTTAAAAAATAGTCTAAAAAGGTTAACGAAAAATCTTGAGAAAATTGAAATTTTTGGTTGAGTATACATATTTAGAAAACTTCTTAAAAAGTTTCGTACATAATTTTTTTGGACAGGAAAAAAGAATAATAAAAAGTTACGTGATGGTTTTTCATTCTGTTGGAACAAACCCTATTCTATGTAGACGCAAGGACCAAATTTGGTATGACCTGATGAACTATTCTGAAAGATATTCCCATAGTTCATTGTGTCACCCAAGGCCTCTTGGTGACCAAACGAATCTTCTCAATATTTAGCAAAAAGTTCGGTGGCATGAGGACAAGTTGAAAAATAAAGAGTTGGTAAAGTGATGTATTTAGAAGATGGTAATCACCTGTTGTTGTACATGGTGAGTGAGATATCCTCTATTGAAAGAGCAAACTATGAGAAGATCTAACACATGTTAACTGAACTGAAACAAATTGTGTACAACTGTGACATATGGAAAACTATACCATAGTGGCTCGCCACAGTGCCATAAGGGTGAGTGGTGTCTCAACAAATCTAGTGTTTTTATGTCTCATAATTCATAAATATCTGGATATTTTATATCACTATGCAGAAAATTTACTTTGAGCTAAATTAATTTTCAAATGGAAATAAAAACTTAGTGCAGTAGTGTAAATATAAATAGGAGTGCTTTTAAATTTTTGAATTTAAAATGCAGCATTTTTAATAAAAAGTGTTTAACATAACTCTCTATAAACTTGTTTGTTTAACACAAACTAACAATCTGAAGTTCACAGGCTGTTTGTGATTCATTTATACATTCATAGTGATTCATTCATTAATAGTCTATTCATGATTGAAATGTTTACCTAAATTTTATAGTGGCTAGACATATTTGTTTTAAAAATATAATACCCAATAACTTTTTTATAATGAAATAAAAATACCAAGACCATGAAATATGAATACAAGCATTGAGTTGACTGGTATTTTTGGTGGTTGGCTGACCACTGAAGATGGTCTGATAAGACTGAATACATTTGTTCTGAATAATTTGAACAATTGTAATCCATTTGGATTAAATGTTTTATTAAACATATACCAATTACACTATAAGCACGTTTCACAGTCACTGCAGTAGGAGCAGAATAGGGCTATGTAAATCTTATGGAACTTTGGAGCTCAGTGTTACTGGTTTTAAGTATACAGAAACACTTGAAGTTCTATCTTGAAGAAGTAACTAAATAGAATATTCCAGAAGTCTCACACCTTGATTTGAAAATCTGTATTTTGGGTTTTATTATTTAATTATAACTAATTCATAGATACTATGGAAGGTATTTATATGATATACAATGATACAACATTAGGATATTATTTTTAGTCTGTGATTAATATTTAACTAAATATCCATTTTCTAATTTTCTTTGCTTATTCACTTAAATTACTCTGATAATTAGTATGATTTAATTGCATGAGTTATTTTCACCTAAATTGTTATTTAATTATTACTACTATTAGTGTAATTACCTTTATATAGGCTAATATTTATGGGAGAGAATATTAGTTAGAGGGGACAAGAAAAATTAAATTTAAAAGAGATCATGTTTAAAATTTTTTGATCCGTATTGATTAGTGTATGCTTTTAAATTGTTATTCAAAAATTGTCATTGTGTTATTTTTGTTATTTTGCCATGGAGAGTACTGTGAAACATTTGCACGGAAAGACATTACACGTTGGGGAAAACAGATGTTGATGAATCTGGTGAATTATCGAATAAACTAAAGAAACCATTCACTTTCCAATGGTAATAAAACAGATATCTGAAGAAACAGGTATTTGCGAAACAACAATTCATACTGTACCAAAAGAAAGTTCTTCGGCTATTGGATTGCAACCAGCAAAAAAGTGAACAATTGGTTGAGATCTGTGTACATCTTGAGATAAAAACATACGACAAAGGAACCAGAAGCAGTATACATAGAAAAATCCACGGATTTTTATTATCAGTAAATGAGGATGAGGATTTACCCCATTGTTCAAGAACAACGCTGTATAGATTGATGAAAGATATGGGATTTGTGTTTGCGAAAAGAGGTAGGAAGTCAATCTTAATAGAAAACCTGAGATTATATCTTGGCGCGATCATTATCTTCGTCAAATTCGCAGGTGCCGTGAAGAAAATTACAACATAGTTTATATTGACGAATTGTGGGTAACTATCGGGGTCAGCTTTAGTAGTTTGTGCGTGGACAGTACTGTAAAATCACACCGAGACGCATTTATTCTTGCTTTCACTACAAGATTAAAAGCTTCTACTGATCATGGTCAACGATTTGTATTAGTGCACGCAGGAAGTAAAGATGGATTTGTCGACGGAGCCGAATACATCTTTTTGTCAAAAAAGAACACCACAGATTACCACGATAAAATTAATGGCCCAGTTTTTGAAAATTGGTTTAAGACCCAAATTATACCAAACATACTAGAAAAAAAAACGGTTGTATTAATGGACAAAGCATCCTATAATTCAAGGAAATTGGAAAAAATTCCCAAAGCAAGTAGTAACAAAAAGGAAATAAAGAGAATTTCACTAAGTACCAAAAGTGTCAAAAGATTTATATTTTGAAGAAGATTACATGAAATATGAATTGTTACAGGTGGTAAATACTTTTAAGTGACAGTATGACTATATTATTGATGATGTTGCAAAACAGAATGTTAAATTGTTGTGACTACCTCCATATCACTGCAAATTGAAACCAATTGAACTGATATGGAGTGAAGTAAAAAGATATGTAGCAGGCAAAAAGTCCAACTTTTGCTTAATTTATGAAGGTTATAAGCAAGTTACTCCATAAAAGTGGAATAACTATGTGAATCATGTTATCAAAATAGAACAAAGAGTGAGAAATCGATATTTTAATGGAAGAAATAGAACTATGTAGTTGTAATTTACCATTAACAGTTGTGACAGTGACAACAGTGTTAACAGAGGTGAGAATGATGACAGCTAAAGTGAAATGTAAGAAAACATTTTAATTGACTGCAGCATACGTAAGTAATTTAAATTATATTCAACTTAATATATAATTAATGTTATTCTTAAGATGTATAATTATTATTATTTATTCATAGGTACAGGTATCAATTTTTTATTGTTCTTAAGTTAACTTTACATTCTAACAATTTAATATTTAAACTAATTTAAAGTGAAATTAAATGTGCATTTAAAATGTTCGAGTACTGCTGATAAACTAAACAAGAAACAAAAGGTACCACACCAAACGAACACTGATGTTTACTTCTTAGAAAAGAAAAATATCAATTGCTGAAAATATATGTCTTGCAACACTGTTCTTCATAGGAGTCTGTACTGAAAAGTGACCAGGACACCCAGAGAAGTTTTTAATTTGTTGTAAAGTTTTTAACTACTATGGTATTCAGCCAATCCACAAGAACTTTCCTACTCTAGACTAAAAGATAATACTAAATATTTAAATATAAATTAATTTATTAAAAAAATGGGTAATTTATTACAACTATTTGGTGGTGTCTGCTTCAATATTTACACTACTTTTGAAATTATGTAATACTTAAAAAATGTTGCTTTTTGTCAATTAGAGTTTATCAACCAATACTATTTTTTAAATGAATACAATTATTCTTCTTTATTGATAGTAAACATAAAAAATAAACAATTTTCTCAACCAAGATCTTCTAAATCAAAATGATTGATCTCCTAGTTACTTACCTATCCAGCACTCCAATCTGGCACATGGTTGTGTTTTGACAACATCTGGTGGATCAACTCCAACATTTAAACATAGAACTAAAGCAACACTGACTGTTTTCATCTGTAAAAAAATAATTTGTAATTAGAATAGTTACAATTTTAGTACAATTAATTATATTAACTCTAAATAATTAAAATTGAATATATGGATAATTTTAACAAATATTTATTCATTATTGATATAAAATATGTATAGAAACAACTATGTATGTGTTTTGAATATTAATGTAAATTGTAGTCAAAAGAAAAAAATAGTTACATGCAATAAAGTATTTTAATATTACTATATTAAATTGCAAAATAATAATTTATATACAGTATAATTCCTCTTAAATGCAATAAAATTCACTGGTGGAGTGAGATGATTTGGCTAAGACACCCCAGGCGATCTGTCCTTGGATTACAGGAGATTCCGCCTAACTGAGCTACAAACCATGTTATCGTTGATAAATATGCTTATTTTATGGTTTTGATCAGTTAAGTTTGTTTTCCTATGGGTTTACATTAATTATTTCCTTTAACGATAAGTACAAAGTACAAACGAATTGTGGTTTGAATGAACACAGGTTTAATAGTGCTAAAGCGGATTGATAATGATGAATCAGTGACAAAAATTTGTACAGAATTTAAAGTTGAAAAAAGCACTGTAAGTAACTGGAAAAGAGATAAGCGTTCCATTGCGAAGTTTGTTAAAAAATGGAATTTGATAAAAATCTGGTTGGTTTTGGCAGAAGAAAAAAAAATGATTTGCTAGGCAGACGATGAAATTTGGTGGATTTGGTTTCTTCAGGAACATCAAAGAGGTGGCAGCCCAATTTTGAAATAAAAAACTTTGACTATTCAACAGAAGATTAAGAGTGGAGGTGAATTTGTAGCATGTGATGGTTTTAATTGATGGAAGAAATGACATAGATTTCACATGAATTTCACACAGAGGAATTATCTCCCAAACAAGTTTATAATATAGTTGAGATAAAGCTAAACATTAAAATATTACCAGAAATAACTTTTCTAGGCAGTCATGAACAGTGTGCCTCTGGATTTAAAAAGAACAAAGAATGTATTACAGTAGCTGTTTGTTCTATACAGAAGGGACTCATAAAATTCCTTTTTTTTTTTTTTAAATAATGTATAATAATTTGAATACATAAAACTCCTCAGATTCATAAAATTCCTCTTTGAAAAATAATGTATAATAATTTGAATACATCTTCACTTCAGGTCTATTTATAAGCAGAGACTGGATTATATGCAAAATGCATGTGCATATATATGCAGCATATTTGTGGGTTTCTTTATAAATGCATATGCTATTCATATTTACTTGATTAAGAGCATATTACCACATATTTGAAATATCACATAAATAAAATGGTTTTCTATACATATTTAGATAATAGTTTCTTGGAATTATTCATAGCAGGTACTAGGTAAGGTAACTACAAAATAATTTTGTTACAAATATCTACTAAATCTACAAGTTTTGTTGTTTGGGAAAATCCATCTGGGAATTATTTATCAGAAGAATAGGGCCAACATGCAGGTAGGTATTATACAGTAAATTCGTTTTTTAGATTCTCTTTGCCAGCTGGCAAAGCAACTTGTGATTGTGAATATTGTGCTTATAAAATAAGAATAATTTCTTTTCTGAAAATATGCCAAAAGTATCGAAACAAAAATCAAGTCTATTGCGGAGTTGGGTTGGTGGCAAAAGTGAAATGAAGATTATAGATAATGAAAGTGTTTTCTGTACTATTTGTAATAAAAAGGTGAGTCCACTTATATTTTAACGATTCAAAAATTTAATTTAAAATCTCATTTTTGCAAGAAAATTAGTTAATACTAAACATGTAACAGTTTGACTATTGGGAGTAGTTTTAGTTTCGAGAAAAAAAAATATGTTATTTTAAAAAATTGAAGTCCATATTATTGCATTAGACTCCTATTTACTAAACTGTTTTATTACAGAGTCAATGTGAAAAAAATTCCAAATTTCCCAACACCTGAAAACGGCTCTCCACCAATATAAACTATCTAAGGACTTCAAGAAACCACGCCAGCAGCTTCTGCAGAACAACATTATTCAAAATTGTCACACATCGACGGAGCAGGAAATGTTTGCAAAACATGTATACAATTTTTTTGTAAGTTGCAATATCCCACTGTATAAATTGGATAGCAAGGTGTGTCAAAATTTTTTGAAAACATATTGTAAAATTGAAAATAAGTCAGTACAGGTATAATAACAAGTGCTTCAACTCTTTGCAAGAAATATGTGAGTGCATCTTACAAAGATGTCATTGAAGGTAAAAGCCAGGTAAGAGATGAATATCTGTGGATATCTGTCGACGAGACTACTGAAGCCAAGGGTCAGCAAATCACGAATTTAATTATTGGAGTTTTCAACAGTTCAGCTGATGACTCCAACAAGTTGTATTTAATCAGTGTAAAATGTTTAGAAAAAACCAACTATGCAACAATTGCTCGATTTCTTAATGAATCTTTAACAAGGATTCTCCTATGTTTTGGATTCACTCCCCGCCTCTCGACGCGTTAGTGTTCTGAGCTGTTGGACGTGAATCCCTGTCCTGGCATTTGGTTTTCACCTCTGGCTGCGTTGAGTAGTTGAGTTACTGTGACCAAATGCCCATCTTGGTAGTTAGTATTCGCCTCTGGTTGCGTTGAGTAACTGAGTTACCGTTGCTAACTACCCATCTTCCTGTTCTTTTGTTTTCTTTTTTCTTTTTCTTTGTTCTCCTGAAGAAGCTACATACAATTGTAGCGAAACGTCGAGATGAACCCACTTTTGGGTCACTCACAAATGACACGGTCCAAACCCGGAAGACGAATAAACTATAATTCTGACTCTGGCTGTGGAAGCCTATGATTTCATACGAAAACAGTTGATGATCGTTTCCTTCCGCACAGATTCCCATGCCTTTGATATCATTAGTACAGCGTCAAGAATACTGACTTTCGTATCGTCGTTATTCTCTCTCTTTTCGATGATTTTGTACACCAATTCTTTCCGAAAGCATGCTCTAAGACTTCTTATAACTCCTTGGTCCATGGGCTGCAGTAGAGACGTACAATTTGGAGGCAGAAAAACGAGTTTAATTTGTTTTAACCTGTCAACTGGGGGGTGGGATGGACAGTTGTCGACAATTAAAATTATGTGTTTCTTTTGTTGTAAAAGTTCACTGTCCCATTTTAGTAAAGTCTTTTCAAAAATAGCTGACGTCATCCAGGCTTTTTTATTGAAATCATAATCAACAGGGAGATTTTTCACGTTTTTAAGACAGCGCGGCATTTTACTTTTTCCTATCACCAAAAGCTTCCTTTTTATGGAACCGGACATGTTGGCTGCAACAAGAACTGTAACACGCTCTTTTGAGAGTTTACCACCGAACATTTCTCGCCTTTAAACTTTAACGTGTGATCAGGTGTCAGTCTAAAAAATAACCCCATCTCGTCAGCATTAAAAATTTCATCATCGCTATAGTCGGACCTGAGTGTAGGCCACACATTTTCAACCCAGTCATTTATAATTGATCTGTCAACAACTGCTGACTCACCTGAAATTTTTTCATGGACAATATTGTGGCGAGCTCGAAAACGTTGAACCCAGGAAGCATTACACTTAAAATTCTTCTTCAAAATCACAGCGAAAGCATCAGCCTTTACCTGAAGCATCGGCCCACTCACGGGTACATTGTTTGCGCGTTGTTGTTTAAACCAATTGAGCAAAGCACTTTCAATGTCACTGTAATTTGATGACCGAACGCGTTTTCCTTTTTCACACTTATTAAATTGCTTAATAATTTTCTCTCGCCTTTTCATTATTCCAGCAATTGTCGAGCGTGACGTTTTAAATTCCCGGCAATCGAACTCGCGGAATCACCGGAATCGACTCGGCAAATTATTCCAAACTGTTCCTCAATAGTAAATTGTTTCCTTGACATTTTTTCAATGAAGTCTAGACACAACTGAATTCAAATTCAGAAACTCTTGGCTTAGGCCAAATGGTGAAATATGTATAAACAAAATTTTGTAATACAATGGACCCGTCTTGGGAGGTCTAACTGTCTAAAGGACAGTAGATGCCTGTCCGGATGTACTATAACCATAAATTAATAAATCCTTACTTCTCATTTCGAGGTATTAAATATCGGTAATACCTGTGAGAAATACAACACTACAATGTCCATTTTCATAACTTTACAGGATAGCACTTTTAAACTTATTTATTAAGATGTATGCTGTAACCAATATTTTAACTACTAGTGTTCCAAGAAATACGTTTGATCTAACCGATTTGTTCATTATAAGCAATATAAATGCGTTTTTTGTATGTCATTTTATGGGACCTACTATTTTGTTTGTTATATCCGATTGTATGTTATAGCCGGTGTCGTTGTAAAAGATTTTAACTGTATTTGCATTGTTGATTCTGTCAAAGAAAGAATAGTAAACTTTTCAGGGATAATTGGAAAAAAAAATTAAAGATAAAAATAGTGAAGTTTTTAACCAGAATGAAGGCTTTTCTTTATTGCGATCAATAAATAACATAATCATTGGAAGCTTTAACGAAGTTATTAATATGGATCCCTCGCTAGTGTCAAATTTTAGATTTGCGCCAATTACATCCTGTGATGTTGAAAGATCGTTTTCCTCATATAAACACATATTAACTGATAGAAGGCATAACAATACTCTTGAAAATATTGGAACATTTTATGATTATATACTGTAACAGCAACATTTATATTTTTTTATTAATGTAGTAATAAATAAACAATCTCTAAGTTATACTATAATTTTATTTCTCACCAAATCTTAAGCCCTAAAAATTAAAAAATATTTTTTTAAAGTGCATATATAAATGCATATAATAAAGGAATATTTGGTTACTTTTAAAGTGCATGTTGCATGTATATTTTAACCATTTTTTAGAGCATATAATTCAGTCTCTATTTATAAGTCACAAAAATCAGTATGTATAAATTAGGATGTATTTCAAGAGTAGTTTAATTTAGAGTTGTTCCAAAAGAAGAAAAAAACATTAAAAAGTGTAAACTTGCCAATCAAAGCAGTTCTAGTGTGGGATAATGCTCTAACACATCCTGAGTGCAATGTAGATGGCATAAATTTAGTTTTTCTTCCTCCTAATGTGACAAGCTTAGTGCAACTGATGGACCAAGGAGTGATTGAAAGTTTAAAAAGATAATACAGGTATAAACTTGTTTCTGAAATTCTGCAGTATTCAGAGAGTGAAGACAAAAGTATGTTCAATAATATTTGTACTATTGCTATTGCATGAACTGCCAGTATTATTAATAATAAATAAAAATAAAAGTGGTCCTTCAGGGGTGTGTCAGAAGGTCAAAATGATTATTCCATTTTTTCTAACCTAGTAGTTCACAACCAATTATCTTTCAGGATCTTTGTATTTATTTTTTACCTTGAAAAATATTGTCCTTCTGCATACTTCATTATATATACAAAAAACAACAATTAACTAGCACCAATTATTTTGGAATATACTACATAGTAGAGTAATCTAAAAAGGTCACAAGGAAAACATAACAAATTGGTTTACATAAAAAAAACTTTTGATTGGAAGTCTTGATTATTTGATACAAAATTCAAATTACAGGATAGAGTCAATGATTATTCATAAACAATAATAATCTATGAGAGCTGGACTCTGAAAAAGTGATATTAAATATATTATTCATTTTTATTATTACATAAATATGTTAAGAATTAAAGATACTTAACTTGATAAGACAAACCATGGTATGTTTCCAATTAAACAACACAAAATCATTAAATACTTAACTACATTTAAAGACAGCTTCTAACTAATTAAATGCTACTCAAGAAACCTGTAAGGGATGTTACAGCAAGTAAAATAGATTCCAATGGTATAAAAGGAGAGGCAGGAAACTGACTTGCAGACCTAAACAATCCCCAAGGAGAACTTACACTACATGGACATTTTATCTTTAGAATGTTTAATATTCTGATGTAAATATAAGAACTAACCCTTTCTTTCATTCTCCACATATGTGTAATACAATCAATTCCTACTATTGGTTCTATATGTCTGCTTTCTACAAAACTTAAAGGTAAGTCCTTATCAGTAATGTTTTCATCTTGGTCCTTTTCAGGATTATTGCCGTTAACGCTCAATTCACCCATATTTTTCAACTGGATAACTCAGATAACTTCGCAGTAAATATAACAATAACTTTCGATCATGTATATTAAGTTTTCTTCATACGCAATAAATAATTATTTAATGCAGTAAGAAGCATGGCAAATATTGGACTGACATATTTATTACTATATTGACATGTGACAACTAGCGTGATGTTTGTTTCTTTTTTCAGAGAATCTCATAAGCGGAGGCGTTTTATGGTTTAAATGGTGTAAAAACACAAATTTAATTGATTTCACTTTTTTTCGATTCTGTTAAATATTCACTTGCTGATTATGTTGGGAACACATATTACCTAAAATCCTGAGATTTTAGTTTTAGAGATATTAATTAAGAGTTTGATTTCTTTTTTGAAATCAAATATTATCTATAATGGTTTATTTTTATTCACTCCAAAAATATTTGAAATATACAAGCTTTTCCGCTTTATTATAATGTACTTTGATAGATCAAAATTTAAAAAATCATTCGTTAAAAAATATCAAAAATCAACTTAGTATTAAGCATACTTTTGAAATGAGGACCTCATTTATACATTTATAAAGTACTTTTTGGTAATAAAATTGTGAATATTGAATTAAAAAATATATTTAATTTTTCTAAAAGTTTGGATAAATACTTAGACGTAACAGGCCAGTAACCAGCTTATTCACGAAGAAGAAAATGTGTTTATTTTCTTAACCTTTTATTTTATTTATTATTTATTCCTCCTATATTTGTGCCTATATACTGTGTTCTAACTTTATAATGGAGATAGATCCAGAAACACAACAGAAAGTTTATATGAAACTATACACTCATATAAAAAACGCATCCCAATTAAGAGAAAAATTGGTGAAGGGTGAATTAAAATGTACTATAGTCAAACCGTCATTGATATGTGATCCTTTTCAAGTCGTTGCTGCAGTTAATAAGGCGTTTACCAGTGAAATATTAAATAGAAATTGTTATGTGGAAGTGCTATATTGTTTAGGTAATAGTAAAAATAATAGTTCCAACTTAGTAACTTTTGGTTTTACAGATAATTGTACTAGTGGTTTAGTTGTGACTGTTAGTAAAGGGGATAATGATGAAGAAATTTATAAACACATTGAAGGTGATGAGGTGCCTTTAGATAGACTATCTGAATTTACTGACAAAGAGTTGATAAGGAAGACTTATAAAATTGGTGATAAAGAGTCTGGTGTTACTCCAATGTTAGATTCAGTAGTCAGTAGAATTGCCACCAAAGATTTTTTATAGATTTGTTAATTTTATGGCCATGTAATTTACACAGTCTAATAAATTTATAAATAGTATTTTGTGGTTTGAGCCATTTTCTTAAAAATACATAAGTAAATCTCTCAAAATAAGTTGAAGCACACTATTTCTGAGTTTACCTTATAATTAGTCCTTTATCACAACCTACCTCTCTCTATTACTAGCTTAAATAAACTTCATGTTGTAGACTTCTTTAATTGAAAAAAGAAAAATAAGCATGAATAATAGAGCATTCATTTTTATTAAAAACTTTCCATTGGTAAATATTAATCTATAAACAACTATAAAATTTCAAAAATAAACTTATGTTTTATTTTCTAAATAAACTGCATGCGAATATTTTTTGTTTAAATATTGCCTGTAAGCTTGTGTGTTTGGTTGTATAGTAATTTCCAGTTGGTCAAAATTTAACACACATAGATAGACTTCACATCTAAAGTCACTCAAGCTATCAATGATAATTCTATCGCCATTGCCACATTTCTAGATGAACAAAAAGCCTTTGATCAAGTCTAGCATGACAGACTTATTCAGAGGCTGATTAACATCAGCTACCACTTCAATTCATAAAAATCATACATTCTTACTTAATGAATCGAACTGTTAGAGTGGGAATAAGTGATCAACTATCAACCCCATTCACTCCACGAGATGAAGTTTCCCAAGGCTCAGTACTAGCCTGTTGTATATAATATACAACAGCAACATTTCTAATCTAAACATCCCAGGTACTCAGTTGTTTCTCTACGCATGTGATACAGCTTTTCTCACAACATCGAAGGGATATTATCCTGAGTGAACTTTCAGAAGGGCACAACCTACTAAACGGCGTCGAAGAATGGTGCAATAAGTGCAAAGTTACACATAACTCTGCCAAAACGCAAACCATTGTGTTTCGCAGCCCAAAAACATCTTTAAGAGTCATCGCCCGCGATGACGACCAATTCCCCCTGAATTTGATGGAACAAAGGCTCGATATCCACCCGACAGCTTCCTATTTGGGTATTATTTTTTCTAGGACAGTCAACTGGAAACCTGATTTAAAGGCAACTTTAGATATGGTCAGAAATCAGGCCCGCCTCCTCAAACCACTTACAAGGAGAATTGGACGAACAAATACAAAAACTCTCGTCCACTCTTATAAAACGTTCATTCGGCCCGGTATAGAGTATAAGTCTAACTTATATTGCCTTCTGAAAGACTATCATAAGAATAAACTACTTACTGCTGAACGTAGAATTCTATACAACAAACCCTGGAGATTCTCATCCCGTGAAACCCACATCTTTTTCTACGGTGTACAGATTCTTGGGGTAATTTGATTTTTTTGCGTTTTTTTTTGAGGTGGCTTTTGGGAGGAATCCCGGGGGTAAAAGTCCCCTCAAATTTTTTTGTATCTGTTTAGGGGTCCCAAAATTAATATGCCCAGCAAAATTCAGCTTGTTCGTATGATTTTTAGAGGTTCAGTGGCATTTTCGTCTCTGACGACTGGAGTAATCTACTATATATATTTCGATACCCGTATAGATGGTATTGAAGAAAGTCAGATTTGGTATAGCTGATCTTTCATCGAGATATATAGTTTAAATATATTTTTCCAAGACCGTGCGAATTTCAGTATTGTCGGTTAATTTTGTTATTTTTTCTAATCGAGGTTATGTTTTTATTCCTGAAACAATCTGTAACCTACTTAAATTTCTTATGGAATTTAAATTAGCCATGTTGCTCATGTAACCTTTTGACATTTTTCTTCTAGTCACTTTTTTTTGGCTGCTTTATTTTTTGTGGTATTTTAGAGTTTAGCTGGATACTGTTTTTCATTCTCTTAAGAATCTTCTTTATCATGTAAGATTTCTTTGGTTCTCGCTTATTTACCCGTGTTTAATTTTTCCATTGCGTGTTTCACGTACATCTTTATATATGTCCAATATTCTTTTACAGTTTGCCCTTCAGTTGATTTATGTGTTTCGGTTTTCTTTATTTCAGGTTTTAATTGAATTGAAGAACTTGAAAACCTATATCTCCCGCATCACAGTCGTCATGTTGCGGTAATTTTTGGATTACCACTATAGTGTAATTTCATTATAAACACGTAAAAAATGTCTAAGAAACACAAAGTTTATTTCTCATATATACAATTTTGGTTGGATTTTAAAAGTGACATATAACAATGCCTGATTAGTCTGCAATAAATTCAGCTTAATTTTTGCATACTATGATTTATTTATGATGAAATAATAAAAAAAAAAAATGTTAAAAAGTGCACTAATTTAATGGACATTTTTAACATAAAAGTCTATATAAAATATAAAACTCTAACAAAAAATGTGTTTAATAATATGTGTTTTCTTCGGCAGCATTAATTATACTGTTACACTTACACCTCCTTGCATGCTTAAAATTAATTTATCAATTTCGTTTTGAAGCAATAGGATCCATTCCTGTTTAAGAAGATCTTAAAGATCTTGTCGACTATAAATATTGTGCAGATAAGGAGCAATATGTGCCTGAAGCAAATCCCATACATGCTCGATGGGATTAAGATCTCTCGATTGTCCTAACCACGGTAAAAGTGTAATATCATCATTATGAAACCAATGTCTTACTGTTGCTGCAGTATGTGGTCTTGGATTTATTTATCTTTATCCTGAATGTAACGCAAATCAGGACCTGCAGCAGTGGCAAATGGAAGAACAACAGGTTCTAAGATACGCTTCGATAACAGTTCGATGATGAGAAATTATTCCAGCCCACATCACTTGTAGACCACTATATAGACGAATACACTGTACATGTCTGAGTCTGTCGACCAAGTCCACTCCAAACTCTCATTCTTCTTTAAGGGTAGAGAAAAAACCTAGCTTCATCTGTGAATAACACAAAACTAGATTCTCGTAAACCCCACTGCACATATTATTGTGCCCGTCTTAATCTGAATCCACAATTTCCATGACGTAACATGGGAACCCTCAATGGACCTCTGTCGTGCAGGTCAGTTTCGTGTAATCTATTCCTAAAAGTTTGGTCACATACAGTAATGTTGTAGGTATTTTCTAGGCCCCCATAGAGTTCACGTGCAGTTATATGCACATTTCGACGAGCTAATCCTACCACACACCGATCCTGTCGAAGATTAGTCTCACGTTGACGACTCTATGACCTTCAACGACATTACAAATCGTTCATATCGACGTTACAATTGCAAAATCACGTTCCGAAACAAGTTAAAATCACGTGCAACATCAGCTTGTGAAAGACCAGCCTGAATTATATTCACAGTACTAAATTTTAGAGGAAATGCAGACTATTTTTAATACTTGATGCACTGTTTCTTTACCATCATACTTGATTTGTAGAGAACAAGTTTTCAAATCAAAGTTTTTGTTGAAAAAAGTGGAATAATAATGGTGTTGCTTAGAGATTCTTGATGTGAAACTTTGACTATAGTAAGGTTTTTAGATAAAAATGAGGTACAAAAGAAATTAATGCTAGCTATATTTATTTACAAAAATAACAAAACATAGAACAAAAAGAGCTTTAAGATATAGAGGAATATAAGACACAACAATATTTTTCTAATATTTGAATGTAGTTAGTATAAATTAAGTATATAAACGATGGTAAAATGCAAAATCAAGGAAAAATAGAGGTAGATCATCAAATGTAATGTTGATATTGTGCAACTAAGAACACTTATTGGGGGTTAGAATCTCTAAATATTGTATACAGTTTTGTCTTATATTCTAAAATGAATATCAAACTAATCAAAACTAGGTATAACCTTTTTTTTTAGTTTTTTGAAGACAATTTTAGAATATGCATTTTTCAATGTTGCTTAAATATATAGTGTGTTTGTAAAGTATGGAATAAATTCGATATTTCCTAAATGAAAAGCCCTTTTAAAAAAATCTAGAACACACCATTTTTAAGTTTAATGTTCTACATTTTACAATAAAATTTTATTATACAAGGTGATACACATTAAGGTGATGACGTCATCGACTCTTTTTTTAATGTAACACCCTGTATTTTAGGACATTTTTAAATCGATAAAAATAAGTTGATTCCAAAAAAAGTATAATACTGGCGGTCTAACGATTATAATTTGAAAGATATGCGCTTAGAAAAGTAATTTTTATTGATTTCTAATATTAATAAATTATAATAAATAACTTGAATGTTATCCAGTAATTAATACATGACTCTATCTTAACTTAATTATTAAGTTAAGATAGAGTCATGGAAATGACTCTATCTTAACTAAAGTAGGTATAAATTAACTAAAGTAGGTACGAGATACTCCCTTAAAACTGAAGGTATGTTGGCCCGTTTAAAACATCCAGTTTTCTTTTACCCAGTATCTACAATTCTGACGGTTGACCTCGCCATTTAATGTGAATGTAGCCTCATCAGAAAAAATAATATTTTGAACCAAGAGAGGGTTTCGGTGGCAGTTATCCATCATTGTTTCACAAAATTGTATTCTTTTATCTGGACCATCCTCGTTTAATTCCTGTACAAGTGTGCATCTAAAGGGGTGCCATTTTTCAAGTTTTATTACTTTGTGTACCGTTGTTTTGCAAACATCGAGATCACGACTAACCTTACGAACAGAAGTGTACGCATCTTCTTCAAAAGCAAGGAGAACATCTAATGTTGTCATCATTTACAGAGAGACGACCTGATTTGCGTGCATTTTCAACCGTACCAGTTTCTCGAAAATTCTTTTCAATCTTACTTACTGTTGACTGCGTTATGGGTCTTTCTGGATATTTATCATTAAATAAATTACACACCTGAGTTCGCGATTTGTCTTCATACCCAATCATCATAATTATTTCAATTCTATGCTTTACACTCAAATTCATTTCTACTTTAAATTAATTCTAAGCAATGATACAGAACATTTACGAATTAATACAATTATTTTACTACTTAATTATTATTGAAAGTTATTAAAAATAGTAAAACCTCGATATAACGGACCTCTATTTAATGGACTTCGGATATAACGGACAAAAAATCCAGCTAAATGTAAAAAAATAAAAACGTACTCTTATTTACGATATAATAACGCGTAAGTTTCTATGATTATATGGGTGATTACCAGGCTGGTCACTCACCACTCTACAGTAGTTCTAGTTTATTCGTTGTGAATGTGTACGCCAGTAAATAAGTTAAAATTTTTGCAATCCTACCATTTAAATATGGACAAACGGAAAATTCAATCAACAAATCAATCTAACGATCAATCAAAAACTAGAGATTCTACAAAAGTTGGAGTCTGTGTCTAGAACGTCTATGTCTCATATACATATGTGATCAATATGGTATAAAAATGCAAACTGTTTTAGACATAAAAAAAAAACAAATGAAAAATAAATAAATTTGCATGAATGTGTGATGAAGGAGAGAACAGCAATCTCAGAAAACGAATGAAATTGGCTAGTAAAACTTTACTGGAAGAAGCAATCTTAAAATAGTACGGCCAACAACGTTCCAGTGGGGTGCTGGTCTGGGCAGTCGAATTGAACTCTGCTGCGATTAAATTAGCAAATCATATGGACATACCATTCAGAACAAGTGATGGATGGCGCTCGCGCTTTCGCAGAAGACACGGAATCATGAATAAAAGAATCTACGGCGAAGCTTCAAGTGCACCAAATGAAGAAATAGAACCTTTTAGGTAAAAATTAGTGGAACATATCAGTAACGAAATGCTATTAGAATTTCACATTTATAATGCTGACTAAACTGGGTTGTTATGGCTTACTTTCCTGAGAGCACACATGCCTTCAACTATCAAAAATCCAATTCTAGAAGAAAAATCAGCAAAGACAGGGTATCGCCACTGCTTTGAGCCAACGCCGATAGATCGCATAGATTAACTCCTGTAATGGTTGGCAAATCTTGTAAACCTAGAGTTTTAAAGATATAACACATCATCCGTCCGTTTCATATTATAGCTCCAAGAAGGCATGGTTCACCTCGTTTTTGACAAAAAAAGTATATGGCTTATTCAACCCATGGATCACTGATCAGGGTACAATTTTGGTAACCAAACGCATATATCGCAGACATTTTTAGACGAAGTAATGGTTGTATTGCATGATGGAGATAATGCAGAAGATACAAGAGGGCAGCGTACCTTGCAAAACTTAAGGTCTTACAATTTAAAATCAACAATTTTTAATTTTGCTGTAGTATGGGAGGAAGTGAAAGAGCAAACAAAAAATGGTTGGAAGAATTTGTTTGATGGCCAAGATGCAGACATAGATTTAGTAAGTTTGAAAGTTAATGGTTTCTGTAGGACAATAGATAATAATTCCGGAAAACATGTAGCTGAGGAAGATGTTTTACAATTGTTAGAAGTAGATGAATGGTATAATATCATGATTGAAAGTGAAATAGCAGCAGATGAAGGTATGAACCTAAAAATGAGAATGGAAGTAGAGATAACAAAAAAAACGACAAAACAACACTGCCAAAAATGAAGTTATCAGAAGTAAGATAGCATCTCGACGATCTAGTAACATTTATTGATTATTCATCAGATAACGAAATTCAACTGTATTTTACGCATTTTTGTAATTTTAGAGAGTTGATCATAAAAGAACAGCAAACATCGAAAGTGCAAACGAAACTTGATTCCTTTTTCAAAACAAGATTACCGACAACAAGCGCGTCGATATCAACAGCAATGTCACTTCACGACGAACGTCCGAAGACAATTAAATAGAATTTTGTTTGTATTTTGTATTTTTTATATATATCAAAATACAGTATACATACCTATTTAAACACAAGTTTTTGATTTATTTTAAACATATTTTTATATACCGGACTTTCAGCTTTAACGGACACCCTGTTCCCAAGTAGTCCGTTATATCGAGGTTTTACGGTAATTACATTTTACTAAAATCTAGTAGTAGGCTATTTTTTTGCAATTGACAATACATAATGTATTTTCTAAGTACATATCTTTCAAATTATATCCATTACACCCTGAGTATTATACTTTTTTTGGAATTTTCTCATTTTTATCGATCTAAAAATGTCATAAAATATAGGGTGTTACATTTAAAAAAAAAAAAGAGCCGACGTCACCTTTTATAATGAAATTTTGTTGTAGAATGTAGAACATTAAACTTAAAAATCGACGTGTTAAAGATTTTTTTTTAAAAAGGCTTTTCATTTAAGAAATATCGAATTTTTTCCATACTTTACGGACACACTGTATGCATTATAAGTAAGGGAACAATTTAATTTTTGGATAGTTGTTATGAATAATTAATTTCTTGAACATGTGATTTCGTTACAAGATTTAAAGTTTTATAATTTCCAACATTTTCTATTAGCGATTCCGTTTAACCTATACGGAGATTTTTATCAATTTTTTCTTAATTAAAAACATAAGGGAAGGAACACTTCCCTTCAATAGCATTGTGAGTTGTAGTAGAAATTCATTACAAACAACTAAAATTAGAAATTCTCAGGTAGTAACAGATTGCAAGTTCACAAAATAAGTCAAAATTGAATTAAACTCAAACAGTTCTGTGGGCGCTCCATCTTGAGGCTTTTACTTTTGTACACTGCAATTGGTATTGCATTACATAAATATATTTTTCTGAAGCTTTTTTCTTGTGGCATGTTAAAGTATTACTATTTAAATGGGAATAGGCCACAATTAAAGGTTAAAGTAAATTTATTGACGTTTCAATTTCCACTTCAGAAATTGTTCTCAAAATGAGAAGACCTGACCTGAGCGAAGTGTACCAACAATCAAGGAGTAGGGGTTGCAGTCTTAATCGGATATTAGATTGATACCGCCCTCTTCACTATTATTTAACTTTGGGAATAAATTGCAAATATAGCGCCTCTGTACTGTCCCTGAGTATATTTTATGCTGAGTACAATAGTTTTTAAGTAATTTTTTAAGTAATAGCAAGTCCTTTTCTCTTGCTTTACTGATCCACCTTAAGCCGATTAAATACCAGCATATTCTAGTCTAAGCCGCAGATTCATTTAGAGTTTTAAACTGCTGCGTTAGCCTTTTTGTTTTCTGTACACCGAGCTGGGGATCGAACTCACTTCCTCTGAACCATTCGCAGTGAAGCGAATGAGAAACCGGCCGCCCAGCCTGCTTGCCTATCTGACCGACCTCATTTTTTTTATACCGGACGCAAAAGTACCACTTTACGTCCCAAAAATTAGATCGTAAAGTGCGGAATTTATTATTTTAGTGTGTTAGGTATAATATGAAGATAGCAAAAAATAGTGAAAGTAGAAATAGCAGAATTATTTGCTTCTTACAGAGGAGTAAAAAATTGTGAAGGTGGTAAAAGAATTGAGAAAGCTTTGTAGTACACAGTGGTATGTAAAAATTACTTTTTTTATTTTAACCTAAGCTACCACAGGTTAGTTGAGAGACGAAAAATTAGTAAGCATCGAGCAGAATCATATGGTATTTAAAATTTTTTATTTGAGTTAGCTAGCTTAATATTCGAGCTTCCGCTTAATAGCTTTATATTGACTTCCCACAAGGAGTAGTTAAGAAGTGAAAATTAATAGGGTGGTAATAATTTGTAACAACCTATAAAAACACTGTGGTACTTCAAAAATACATTTTTTTCAATTCTACTGGATCGAATATTTAGCTAGCGGGAACTTTTTCAAATAAAATTGCTTTAGTGGTGAAAAATTATCAGGGTGGTAGAAGTGTAGCAAAAACTTACCACAACACCTTTTTATTTCAATTATACGTAGAGTACAATAATAGGTATATAAAAAAAATTCGCCATAAATTTTAATCTAAGAATTGTTGACACATGGGTTAGTTGAGGGTGAAAAATTACTAGGGTGGTAATAAATTCGTAAAAACCTAGCAGGACACTGTGGTATTTCAAAAATAATTTTTATTAATTTCAACACTTTTTTTATTTCAGTCATAAGTAGAGGAGAGTGAAATTGTAAAAGAATATTTTTTAGGGGTGCAAGATTATCAGAGTAGTTTAAGTTTAGTAAACATTTAAAAAACACTTTTTTATTTCAGTTATAAGTAGAGGAGAGTTAATTTGAAAAAAAAATCCCATTAAATTTTAATATAACAGAATTATTCAGTTTCCTTAAGGGGTAGTTAACGGGTGAAAAATTACTAAGGTGGTAATAAATTTATAAAAACCTAGAAGGCCAGTGTGGTATATCATAAATATATTATTTTTAATTCTACTAGCTTTAACTGTGAGTGAAAAATTATTAGGGTGGTAATAAATTAGTGCAAAATGGGTGAAAAAATATGCCATAAGCAAAAAGTTGTTTTCCGAATTCTGCTAGCTTGAACCTTAAGCCAGCAGAACCGCTTCCCTTAAGGTTGGTTTGGTGGTGAAAAATTATTAGGGTGGTAATAAATTAGTGAAAAATAGGTGAAAAAATATTACATAGGTTAAATTGGATTCCTCTCATTTGTCCCCGCAGCTTAAGTGTCCTCAACGCTGTCACAAAGCGTCAATTGATAAACTTCTACAGGTTAACATGTGGGTTCACATAATTTATTTATTTACAACATTTTTTTGAAAAGGATTTCTAGATTGGAAATCGAAAAGTCAAAACAAATTAAAAACTGTAATTCTCATTGCAATTAATTGTGGTTTAACTTCGTATAAATACAATACTTAACTTAACATCGTCACAAGAAAAGAGTTTCAGAACCTATTTATAGGTAGGTCTATTTTGATTTTGAAATTAATGCTAAATCTAGGATATCGTAATGTTGTTGTTATCCAGGCTAGATCCATTTTTGACAGTTTTATGAAATATTTCAATAAAACACCAATATTAGAAAATATGTACTTATTGAGTAAAAAAATTAATCCACTAAAATTATTACACTATTTAAAACAAATTTTGAAATAAAAGACATTCTGTAGAAATATCACGGCACTACGAAATCAAATAGGTTAACTTTTTGTGGTATTAACTGTAAAACTTATAATTTTTTACAGTACAAAATAAGTGTTAAATCTCTTCTAACATTTCATAATAAAAGAATTCTGACAAGGGACCAAATAGATATACTGCAGGTGTTTCTTCTGGATTTCCTAAGAATTCTGCATACAATTCTTGGTATCGTGATAATGTTATACCACCCCGCCTTCTATCGTCATCCTAAAAAACAATTAAACTTATTAGAAACAGTTTGTTTAAATTTTAGTTTTAATGTATTAATCGTAAATATACTAAAGATATTTAATTCCAGTAAAAATTGTCGAAGAAATACCATTAAGTTTCGAACATAATAGATTCAATTCTAACGAGATGTGGTTACGGTGCTAGCATACTAAGTGAAAACGTATTTCTTAGGGCACATACAACAATTAGGAATATCTTTAAAGTATTTAAAATAGCCATATTCCTTTTATTGGTGTATTATCAATATTATTGAATGTTGGTATGTATTTTTTTTTCATGAAAAACATACCGAAAGCCATTACTATTAAAAGTATGAGGGAATTTATGGGGATGATATTGTTGGCCGATGATCTTTCTTGAATCTCTCTCTTCAATCCTGACCCCCCAGGGGGAGTGTAGTGGTCAACGTGATGTCGTGTATGGTCCGTCTCCAGAGATCTCTGTCTCTGGTCATTTCTTTTAATTCATGCATAGGTCTTTGGCATATTCCTCTAATTTGATCTATCCATCTTGTTGGGGATCTTCCTCGTGATCTTCGGCCTTCTACCTTTCCTTGTATTATGAGTCTTTCCATGTTTTCTGTGTTTGCTCTCATAACATGCCCAAAATATTTTAATTGTTGGAGATGGACTTTACTAGAGAGTCGTTGGCTAACTTTTAGCTCTCTTAAAATTGAATTATTTGTTCTGCGGTCGGTCCAAGGAATTCGTAACATTCGTCTCCAACAGAACATTTCAGTGGCGTCTATCTTTCTTCTCTCCGATTGTCTCAGAGTCCAAGATTCACATCCGTAGGTCAGTCACATATACATTTAATCTCTTCTTGTAATGACCCTGTGTTTGTGATTAATGATCCCAGATATAAGTATGAGCTCACAACCTCGAACCGGTCAATTGTGGTTATGTGTGGATGATTGTTGTGTAGTCTATCCACTATCATGATCTTTGTCTTTGATATGTTTAATTGCAGACCAAATATTTGACTTTCGTTTTCGATCAGTCGTATAAGTTCTATCAGCTCTGCTTGACTATTTGCAAGAAGGGCTGTGTCATCTGCGAAACGTAGGTTGTTTAGTTTATGACCATTTATTGAGATGCCCTTTTCCCATCCTTTAAGTGCTCTTCGCATAATATACTCCCCATATATGTTGAATAATTGTGGAGATAGTATACATCCTTGTCTGACACCCCGTTCTGGATAAAATTCGTTCGAAAGTGTGTCAAGTACTTTAACTGATCCAGTAGTGTGTTCATATAGTTCGGTTATAAGCGTAATTAGATGTTGTGGTACGCCTACTTCTTTTAGTATTCGCCATAAGTGTCTCCACTTGACCCTGTCGAACGCTTTACGGTAATCTATAAAACAGATGTATAGTGGGATGTTGAATTCCCTAGATTTCTCGATTATCTGTCTTATATTCAGCAGGTGTTCTCGAGTGCCTCTACCTTTGGTAAATCCAGTTTGCCCTTGTGGAATTTCTCTTTGAAGGAATGTTTTCAGTCTCTCATTGATTATATGTATCATTATCTTGCTGGCATGGGATATAAGAGAGATAGTTCTATAATTGTCGCATTTATGGAAGCTGCCTTTTTTATGTATGGTCGTTATTGTAGATTTTGTCCAGTCTTCAGGCCATTGTTTGGAATGCCATATTTGGTTACAGAGTAGATGAAGTAACTTTACGCCGGTTTCTTCTGTGGCTTTAAGCATTTCTGCTGTTATCATATCTGGACCTGGTGCTTTGTTATATTTGAGCTTGTTGATAGCCTTTCTTGAATAAATTATTAATAATAATATTCTTTTTGCAACAAAGTTTGAACGGAGAAGCATGTATATAATTATTAGAGGATACAGTTGATTCCATTGTGACAGAATAATCGATAATGATAACCGATACTCAGAAGATGATTTGTTTTTCCAACAATATGGCAAATCGCTGCATTATTATGAATATAACGCGATGCCTTAATGAACGGTTTCCTAGGCAATGGATTGAACGAAGAGGTTGTAAGGCCAGGAAGATCCCCCATTTAACTCACCTGGCCTTTTTATATGAGGTTATTTTCCTATAGTCAGGGCTAATAACCCCTAAAATGTTCTTTAAAATGTTCGTCGTAAGTTCGAACAGTGACTTTATAATTGTATGGCAGTTTACAATTTAGTTTATTTTATTTTCGTTACATTTAATAAAGTTGTCTGTCGAGGCATTAACTCAATAATAATAATAATAAAGTTGTCTATTAATGTTGTAAAATTTGTTTTAATATAGTTTTTGATGGTTAAAATTGAAATTAAGGCTAACAGAACATACACGCAACCTTCAGTTTTTAAAAGGTGTAACATTTTAAATAATCTCATACTTTTTCACACGAATATATTTAATATGGAAAAAATGATGGTATTCATATTCTCCATTTAAAATAAAAATCTTGTGATACTGTAAGGGAGGGTGTTGACAAATGTTAGATATCTATATCGTTAAAACCTGTCCCCTTTGCATTTCCCCCTTTGTCCCTTTACCATTGACCTGTTTGAGCATTTTCACAAAAAAATATCAGAATTTTCCCATTATAAATTAATAGAAATACATTTTTTCGTTAAAAACTTTTTATTTGCATGATTTCTTACGTTATTTATATGATCTAAGATCTATTTAGCTATGTAATCGAGAAAACAAGATTACAATAATACATAATAACAGTAACTACTGAATAACTAAACAACAAAAAGATAGTGTTAAATATAACGTATTTGGAGTAAATGGACAATTATTATGGTTGTGTCTAAGTAATTAACAAAAATCTCTCAATATTAAAAATTAATATTAATTTAAAAAATAGAATATTTCGCTTAGAATTTCAAGTCTGGAATGTTTATTTATAAATATTCATTGTTGTGTAGTTTTAGCAGAAATAAAAAAAAGTTCAGCTAGTAATTATAAGCAACAAGGGAGAGTTGCCAAACAAATATTTAACTGAGTATAAAGTATTTATTTATAGAAAGCAATCTTTCATTATAGAATATGTATAACGACTACATACATTTAATAGCAGAGTCACATTGGCGATTTTTACAGCATATCGGTGATATTTTTGAGATTCTTTTGCATTTTTTACTTTCTAGAAAACACCGACTTTATTTTCTTTGTAATTTAGATTCTTAATGTTAAAGTAAAATTTAAATTAACATGTATCATAATATCATAACTACCATATTTATTAATTTATAAGACCTATAGTAACTAGAGTAGTAGACCTATTGCTAGACTAGGCTATTTAGCTGGACTTAACGAGTCTGATTAGAGCGAGGAATATGAAGGATCTTTCTTGAAATGGTTTCATTCGCGTAACCATAATTGGTCTCTTGGTTTAAGGAAAGTAATCAAAGTTACAGATACCTTTATATACAGTATAGGTAAAAGTTTATGGTCGGTATGGACCTTACATGAGATGGAGTGAGAAACAACTGTTTAAAAAGAGAGAGATATATTAGGTGTCCGCCTTTTATATCACCGAACATAAATGAGTGGATATGGAGTGGATATAATAAAAAGGGGAAATTCAACGTTGCCAAACTTATTGGTTTTATTTGACCTGTTGTCTTTTTCGCATTTGAACAATGCTCCAAGATAATGAAATTTGGGCGAAATGGATTTAAATGGCAGCTTATTGTTTTTTATTTCGAATATGCCACAATTTTACTTTACAATAAGTGTAATATAACATTTTGATTTATACTTCGGAAATCGTTTTATATAAATAAAATTTATTAATGTTTGGTATTTTAAAAACGATTTCCGAATTAAAAATCTAAACATCAAAATAAGCTTATTTTAAAGTGACATTATGCCTTATTTCCAATAAAAATATTAAACTGCATATAAATAAAAAAGCTTCGTACAAAACTATTTGCCAACGTGGCGTGTCGCGTGGTCAAATCACCGAATCAAAGCGTAAACAGGTATTCACGAATAGAGGTGGGTCATTGACGTCGCAAAACCGATTTTCGTAAACAAGTAACTATGATTTTTTAATAGTAGTTTCAAGTAAGAAACTACCTACATAAACAAACATAATGGCTATTATCGTTTATCTGTATATTTATTAAAGTGAAGGAAACTAATAAAAGATTTTATTATAACTTGAAAACTAAACTAAACAATACAAATAGTAAATCGTACCTACGTTTACATTACACGTTATTATTAAATCACGAATCGTCTAAATTGACATTTAAAAACATAAGTTTTTTTTACTTTACTTCTAATTAACCGTGTTTTTCTTTTATTTAAAATTACACCTGATTTTGAACATGTGTTCACATTTACAATACTTTATGAATATAGTGGTTAAGTTAGGAGATACATGGCGATGGTTTTTCCACCATTGTAATGGACTCTCGCTACAGGTGTACGTTTAGATGAGTCATGTCCAATTAATTGATCAAAAATACACCATGGACTTAAGTCATCTTTATCGGTTTCTTTTTCTTATACTGGTTGATTTTCAATAGTACAATCTTCTTGTTCTTTAATTATAGAAGTAACCAGCTTCTTAACTCTTTCTTTTGTTTTTTTAGCGTCATTTTTATCAGAAAATCCCTGCACTTTAAATCGTGAATCCATAAACGTACATAATGACAATATGCCCCTGTATTCTATCCCTCTAAATCTTTTTGCTAAACCCGAGATTAGTAATTATCCCGTAATTAGTAATAAAAACCCGTACTACGTCGGATACTAACTATGGATGTAAGGTTACTGTTTGCTAAAATTTTATTGCAAGATTTTTGCAGGCAGCGTACCAGAACAATCACTGAACTATCATTCAAGTATTTTTGGCCACTCATTGTACTTGTTATTTCTTTAAAAGGCCGTAAAATTTAGGACAATTACGAAAAAATAATCCAGTCTTCATTATTTAGATTTGGTCTAAGTCTAAGTCTGTATTAACTGATACCAATGTGGAACGGATTGC